TACATACATACATACATACATACATACATACATACATACATACATACATACATTACATACGTACATACATACATACATACATACATACATTACATACATACATACATACATACATACATACATACATACATACATACATACATACATACATACATACATACATACATACGTTACATACGTTACATACGTTACATACATACATACATACATACATACATACATACATACATACATACATACATACATACATACATTACGTACATACATACATACATACATACATACATACATACATACATACATACATACATACATACATACATACATACATACATACATACATACATACATACATACATACATACATACATTACATACATTACATACTTACATACATTACATACATACATACATACATACATACATACATACATACATACATACATACATCCATCCATACATACATACATACATACATACATACATACATACATACATACATACATACATACATACATACATACATACATACATACATACATACATACATTACATATACATACATTACATACATACATACATACATACATACATACATACATACATACATACATACATACAATTAAATATATACATACATACAATTACATACATACATACATACATACATACATACATACATACATACATACATACATACATACATACATACATACATACATACATACATTACATACATACATACATACATTACATACATACATTACATTAATTACATACATACATACATACATACATACATACATACATACATACATACATACATACATACATACATACATTACATACATTACATAGATTACATACATACATACATACATACATACATACATACATACATACATTACATACATACATACATACATACATACATACATACATACATACATACATACATACATACATACATACATACATTACATACACACATGCATACATACATACATACATACATACATACATACATACATACATACATACATACATACATACATACATACATACATATATTACATACATACATACATACATACATACATACATACATACATACATACATACATACATACATACATACATACATACATACATACATACATACATACATACATACATACATACATACATACATACATACATTACATACATACATACATACATACATACATACATACATACATACATTACATTACATTACATACATACATACATACATACATTACATTACATTACATTACATTACATTACATTACGTTACATTACATACATACATACATACATACAATTACATACATACAATTACATACATACAATTACATACATACAATTACATACATACAATTACATACATACAATTACATACATACAATTACATACATACAATTACATACATACAATTACATACATACATACATACATACATACATACATACATACATACATACATACATACAATTAAATATATACATACATACAATTACATACATACATACATACATACATACATACATACATACATACATACATACATACATACATACATACATACATACATACATACATACATACATACATACATACATACATACATTACATACATACATACATACATACATACATTACATTACATTACATTACATTACATTACATTACATTACATTACATTACATTACATTACATTACATTAGATTACATTACATTACATTACATTACATTACATTACATTACATTACATTACATTACATACATACATAACATACATACATACATACATACATACATACATACATACATACATACATACATACATACATACATACATACATACCATACCATACATACCATACCATACATACATACATACATACATTCATTCATACATACATACATACATACATACATACATTACATACATACATACATACATACATACATACATACATACATTACATACATACATACATACATACATACATACATACATACATACATACATACATACATACATACATACATACATACATACATACATACATACATACATACATACATACATACATACATACATACATACATACATACATACATACATTACATACATACATACATACATACATACATACATACATATACATACATACATACATACATACATACATACATACATACATACATACATACATACATTATACATTACATACATACATACATACATACATACATACATACATACATACATACATACATACATACATACATACATACATACATACATACATACATACATACATACATACATACATACATACATACATACATACATTACACACATTACATACATACATACATACATACATACATACATACATACATACATACATACATACATACATACATACATACATACATTACATACATTACATACATTACATACATAACATTACACTACACTACACTACACTACACTACACTACACTACACTACACTACACTACACTACACTACACTACACTACACTACACTACATACATACATACATACACACATACACAAGACACAAAACACAAAACACAAACACGCAACCTTACAAACACACATGCACAAACACACAGAAACACAAGCACATAAATACATAGACACATAGATCTACAGAAACACCAAACACACAAGCACACAAACACACAAACACGCAAAAACACACACACACACACAAACACGCAACACATGGTTTGCTACATCGACATATAGCTACACCGACACACCAACACAAAAACACGCAAACCCACAGCACACACACGCAAGCACACAAACAGCAAAGCCCACAAACACTCAAATATACAAACAGCACCACGCAAACACACAAAAGCACAGGCACTCAAGCCCACAAACACAAAGTTTGTCCATCGCAGTTGGCGTCATCCAGCATTACGTCGCGGTTGACGTTGCCGCGCTGCGCCGGTGAATGCGGCGGTGCCGATGATGGAGCGCCACCGCTGGATGATAACAAGATTCGACAAATCAAAGACAAGCAACAATTAACAAAGAATAAAAAAGATGAATAATCACAAGATGTCCACGAAATTGCGAAGCGGTGTTATCTTTCCGGAGACAATAGTTCCGGCGTGCTCCCACGCGCGCAACGAGTGCTTTCGTCGCTGAGAGAATATTCCCGGCGTGCCTAGTGGCGAGGACTGTGCACGTTTTTGGCTTGGCAGCCGTCACATCTATCATGATGCATTGACTCGCTTGCAGTGGTAGCCCGGCTGGCCAATCGGTCAGTCCCAACCCAACAGGGTCTCGCGCATGAAATGAGGCTGCTTCCTCGCAGGGTTTTGGGAGGAACAAACAAAACACGCGAATCCTTGCTTAGGTGGAGCTCGTCCATCGTTTTCCACGCCGCTGAACTTCATGCTGAGATGTGTTTGGTAGCAAACAAAGCTGACCAGCGCTAATACAGAAATAGCGTGCCTCACAGTCATAGCCACCGAGCCAATACTTCAAACAACACAAAAAGATTCACGCGAATCAGCCATCCATGCACCCGCTCTTAGAAAAACATCACTGTTTTGCAGCGTAACCACAATAAAACGAGAGTTTGCCGGCTCATGAAGAATGGCTTCTCAGGGTTGTGTAAGCTCTCCTTTACACATTTCCAAAACTCGCAATGGCCTTGGATGATGTGTAAAAACGTCGGCGAAAGGGAAATATACGGACCCTGCTGCGTCCTCCTCACAACGCCGGCAATGCGCGTTCGGCCCAAGCATCCACTCGGGAGACGGAGGACAAATGAGGCAAGGCGCCTGCCGATCGATCAAAAGGGGGCAACGCGTGCCTTGACTCGCGCAGCAATCTTAGTTAAAAAAGAAAAACGTAGTCAGATGCACGAGGTGTGCCAAGCGCACTCTCCTTCAGGCCAGACTCGCGGGAGTGCGCTCCTCGATATGTGTCGTCGTCCGAGTCTCATGAAGCTGCCGCGTACCGTCCGAATCGCGGCGAAGTCGGCCGCGCAGTACTGGGGTCACAGCTGCTGCAAATGTGGTATGCGGACAGCAGTGTGGCTCGCAGAACGGCGTGACAACCAGTCTAGTGGCCCTTTTCGGGTGTTTCAAAGAAAAAAGCATAGCCGCCCATTGCACTAGCTCCTCCGATAAACAAAACAGGGTAACACGGCTTCAAACACAGCACCCGCTCCGCCAGCTCCGCTCGTCAACCTGTGACACGCTGTCGCTCTTTTTCCCTAGGCCCCAAAGAACAGCCTCCATTCGTCCAAATGCGCACTACAGAGAAGGCAGTCAAGTTCCAGTCATGTTCAGTGTGTCCAAAAACTTGGGACCCTAACAGACAATCGATCTTGGTTTCCCTTTCCAAGCCATCAGAAAGAGGGTCGATCCTGCAATTTTCGGACACCAAGTCATGCTTGCAACCATGCTTCCTGCAGCTCCACTTGCGCCGAATGTCTGCGAGCCAGCGTCTACGACTAAGTGAACGGGAAGTCGAACGGGGTCGACACACACCTCCTGACCAACCAGGCCATGCCCAACACAAACTGATGAGGGGTAGCCCCAACCACAAGTCAAAATGGGAACATCGAAAAACAACAAAACTGATACCTTCAAGCGCTTCATGCTGGACATTGGCATCCCTGTTGAACGGAACTGAGTTGGCTTCAGCGGCAACCCCGGGCTTCAACTAAGCAGAAGTCGCCAAAAAAATCAGCAAGGATCTCTTGGAGATCCCTCTAAAGCATCGCTCTTCAATCCAACGACTGAAGTCTAATCGCTCCGCTTGCCAGGGTGGGGTGTTGCACCTCTGGAAGCATCACCTGGGAATTATCCTCTCGAATACGAGAAACTGAAAAAGCGGATGGTAGGACATAAAATCCATCAGTCCGCATGATCCACTCTGTTCTTTCTCTCATTCGCTTTCCTGTGACTACAAAAAGCTCAGGTGAGGAGTTGCTCCCCTGTGATATGTCTCCATCCACCTCTGGCCCTACGGCCTACCCCTTCCAATAATCTCAAAATATCGCCCGCGGGCGAAGGACTCATAGCCCAATGGGCTTTGCCAGGCTCTGGGAGAGGGAGATGCCGCGGTTTTTCCTGGCAAGGCAAAGGAACGCGCTCTTTTGTCTTTCTTTTTCTTTTTTAACGGCTACCCTCCCTCCCACGTTGCCATGGCAACTGGCAGGGGCTCCCTTCAAGTACCTCCCCACAGGTGCAATGATAGTTGGAGGAAGCCTACCTTTCGTGTCGCTTGGTTGAAAGGGAAGCCACAGGCAAAACCGCTGAAGTCGGTTTGCACATGCCCAAATAAATGCCTTTCCTAGGCGAGTGGCCATCCAACTAACCCCTCGGAAGCACAGTCCTCGGCGTCAGCGAGAAGGGACTCCCTGGCAGCTTTTCACACTGCGTTTGGGGTGGCCCTTGTAAGGGAGTTGCTTCTGCATGGTTGTTTGTGTTTTTCGGTGAGCCAAAGAGAAGCCAATTGTTTTGGGGTGGGTTCTTGCAAGTGGACGGGAGGAATAGAAAACTGACATGGCTTCCCGTCTAATACATAGCAAGGCGTGGACTTAAACTTGTCGGCGCCAACGATCAAGCCACCGCTTGGTTCAGAAAAGATTGGTGTTCCCGGCAGAGCCGGCGAAGTGTCCCAGGTGTCAAACATATAGTTGCCCCTCAGAACTTGCTCAGCAACTCTCAACGGAATGCCATGCGGGAACATTTCCGCAAGCTAACAGCTCATCCTACACATTATCAGGACCAACCAACTTGGACATAGGCCCTTTCTGTTTGGAGACCCTTTTTATGTTGGGGCTGCTGTTGTGAGAAATAGCGGGGCGCCCACAGAAGTGATCCACATTCCCACCAGCCGGCCACACACCCAAACAAAATCAAACAGACGTGCTCATTCATCCGGAAACAACAAAAAACCAAGCCACCTTGCAGATGACTTTTCACATGGTCTTTGGCTTTGTTTGCCATTTTCATGGATTCCGAGGACCCTGATCTGACACAAATGAAACTTCGGGGAGCCAAAGAGCAGCCTGTTGCTGGCAAGGCGACCATTCCGCCTTGATAGGTCTGCCCAGAGCGATCGCTCCGCTGGGTGGACCTACGCTGCTGGCGCCTGCTGACCCACTTCGAGCCAAGTGGGCTTGTCTCATGAGGGCGACCCCCTAACATGTAATCCCTTGCGGCGTCCCTTTGAGGAACCGCCTATTGTCAGGGGGCTTTACTTGTAAGACTTATCACGTGCAGTTGACAAGCAACACGATGTTGACAATGTGAAAGTGCGAACTGTAGAGTTCTAGTCCCCTGGAATGACAAGTCACCTGTAAATGTCAAACAACGTTACGGTTCAAAGTGGTGCGAACGGACTACGCAACCATCCACGGTATCTCCAACCCCTGAGGCGTAAGAGGTTCTTGCGCGTCCGCCAGCGAACTTCCCCATCACTTCCTTCGGGGGTTCTTCGTTTGGAGGTTCTTCCTTCGGGGTATTTCGCGGAGGTTGGACTATGACCTAACGTGAAAACCTGGAAGGAACGGAGAGGAAGACTTCTACAAAGAAGCTAGTGGCACGAAACACGTAGATCTGTCATGAAATCAGTGTAGAGCGTCCATTCGGTGTCCCTTTTTGCCCATCACAGAAGGGTAGAAAACAAACTGTGCCTAAAACCCATTCCGAGCTTAATAAGGAAGCATTTCAGCAAACAAACAAACATGACAGCCTCCCCTCCCCCCTTTCCAAGAGCAAGCGCTCGACCAAAACCTCCCCCCCCTTTCCGAGCGAGCGGCCATCCCGTGCTAAGCTCCGGCTCCTGGGCCGCATTCGAAACATCGGCCCGCGCCCGTCGCTCTCAAAGCTGCAAAGCCCTCAAGTCCCGAAAAAAACTCGGAGAGAATATGTGTAGGGTTGTCTTCCAAAAACACATTAGTTGAAAAAATCTGGAGAATCTTTGGGCCTTGGTGGACTGGGGTGCTGAATCCACGAGAAGCCAACAGCGAGGCGTGCCTGCGTGAGCATCGAGGGCCGCGCGCTGGACACCTGGAAGTTGCGAGAGATGCCGACGTGTCCCTCACAAGACTCCAATGCAATGATTCAATCCGGCGATTCAACAGCATTCTGACAAATGTGAAAGTCGGAACTGTAGGGTCCTAGTCCCATAAGGGCTACTGTGGATGGTTGCGAAATCCATTTCGCACCACCGTTCGCGAACCTTTGAAGGATGATTCGAGTCCCTTGTAAATACCAACAAACAACGGTTTCAAACATGGTTTTCAAGTGGTGCAGGATTTCGTCCGTCCACAATATGATTCAAACAGGTGATTTGAATTGAGTCACCGGCTGGTAAATTACGTCCGTTGAGACATGGTGAAGTTGAATCTGCCGAATGTTGGCTCAAAGAGCCTTGGTCCAGTTGGGTGTGATGAAATTGGAATCTGTTGGTGACGTCGGAACCCAAGGCTCAATTAATCGAGGACCCCCGCCCAACAGGGAGGGCGCTTTCCTTTGGACCCTTTACGAAATGTCACGAGCGGTCCCACCATTTTTAGAAACGCTGTGTCGAAGGTACCCTTGTTTTGGCTCACTCCTCATTTTAACGGAAACGCAAGGAGATCTCTTGCCTACAGCGGGTGTGCAATTCTTCCTTTTTTGAAACCTGCAAAAAAAGTGGTCCCCCCCATCCAGCTTTCAAGAAGCAATTGGATCCTGCTGTTGGGACTGACAAAACTTGAGAGAGCTACCAGGCTGCCTGCTTACAATTGGTCTTGCTTCAGTTGCATGGCGTTGACTTTTTTTGGAATGAAAATCCCAGATTGCTCAACAGTTCTAGAGGAGGTCCCTTGTTTTTAGCAGGGAATCCCTTTAAAAGAAACCACCCCGATGTAAATAGAGGGTGTCAACATATGGGAGCGGCCCAAACAGGTTGCCGATACCGCCAAGTAAGCAACCTCTGGCTCAAGAGCTGGTCTCTCAGCTCCGAACGTATCGTGTGGTCGAAACGTCCAAGGCCTCGAATCTCGCTTCTGGTGACCTTCTTCCCATCACGTGCTCAGTACCCTGGCTGCGATGCATGTGCCAAGCTTGCTTCAACAGTGACCCCGATGTTTGTTTGTTCTGTGTCCAGTTGAATGAATTTGGCTCCCCCGCCGCAGTGACGATGTCATTCACTCGGCGGACATCCACCTGCCAGACAGACGACTTATCCAAGACAAGCCGAGAGACTGGAAAGCCGGAAGTGTCGGGAGTCTTTGCAGAGCGAAACCGCATTCAGCACTGCCTTAAATGTGTATATATATACACTGTTTTTCTTGCCAATCAATACTCATTCTCCCCAAGTGACGTGGGATTTTGGCTAGCAACCTCCATTTCCTGCCTTCATGTTGGTGGTGACCCGCGTCATCCCCTTTACCTCCGCATACTACCGCAGAGGACCGTAGAATTGCCCTTTCACAACCAGTACCTCCAACGCACACGCACACACACTCACACACAAAGAGCATTTCCAGGACGAAGTTTCGTCACGGACCTCATAGACCTGTCAACTGAACAAGCACCTCGGTCCAAAACACCAATGCCTCAAAATGGGAGGCAAGTGGGGAGAAAGAAAAACGCTGGCAGCATGCAGGGAAGGGTTTCAAAGCACGAAAGGAGGCTGCGAACCCGGCGGGGATGGACAATTTTTGTACCGCTGAGTACGGATGAAACTTTATAAATGGTTGACAAACCACCTAACTGGTGCCTGCACTGGACTTTTCCCATTCACAGTGCGTCAAGGGATTTACGCCAAAACGCTGGGCTCACTTGGCCAGACCCACCATTCCCGAAACCGCTGGAAACTTCCGAGCCTGCCGCAAACACACACCGTCACTTGCGGAAAAGACATCAGATTGTGTTCTGGTCAGAAAGGTTCGCTGAACCGTTACCATCACTTTAGGGAGAGAAGAGGATTTCTGAACCAAAAGACGGTTCAAATTCCAAACATAACCTCCAATTTATCGAACCTTTTCCACCAGAACTGCCGCCCCAAGATTTCGGGCGGCGCCTTGCGCTCCAGCTCCTGCACGGGCCAAGCTGCAAAGCCCTGCTCATTGGCAAATCACCGGCTTGGTTCCTCTTGTGCATACGGAATATATATATATACAGAGATATGTATATACAGCGTCAGGATGGGTCTAGGGTTGGTTTGTGGTTTTAGGGTTGGTTTAGGCTTGGGGCTGGTTTAGGGTTGATCCCCCCCCCTCTGTAGTCGTTGGGCTGTGGGTTGGTTTAGGATGGGTTTAGGGTTGGTTTGGGTGTGGTTTAGGGGGTTTTGTTTATACATGTACATACATATAAATGTAGCATGTAAATATTGTAGATGATTTGGTTGACATTCATTTTGCTGCAGGCGTGTCTGTGTATGGCTGTGCGGGATTGTTAGCACTTTCTGGAGGACACTTGAAGCTGAGCGGAAACTCTGTCCCACTCTGTCCCTTCCCATACAATCAGTCATTAACATAGGTGACCTTTTGGAAAAATAGAGGCCCTGGTAAACAGAATAATACCCGTCCAAGACCCAAAATGCCTCCCATGTTCAATTGCTTTGGTCACTGATGTTTTTGGGCCCCCGGGCCAGGGGAGGAACGGCCGGAGGCGTCCAGCGGGAGTAGAAGGGCAAACAGGCCACCTCAACTCTTTTTCTCTCTCTCTGTCTCTCTCTCTCTCTCTTTCGCGAATCTGACCGAAAAAGCGGCGTTTCCTCGTGGCTTTCCCTCCACCAAAAGAAATTATCATATCATATGGGTCTGAATCCTCACCAAAAAAAGGAAGTCTTCCTTCCTTTGGCTGGCCAACAGAAGGTAATACTCGCACATATCATTCGGGGCTGAATTAATCTTCACCCAAAAAAGGGGCAATGATGAGCGAAAAATTAGCACACCATCATCCCGAAAAAAAATGGTAGCGACGAACTGACTGGTTTTGCAGACCGCGAACCTGAGAGAAGGAAAAACACATGCAAAAAACATGTAAAGAAACGTGCAGTTGAGGATTGACCAACCATCTACATTTGTAAAAATCTTTTGGGTCCCTTGGTGTCGATCCCAAAGGTTCATTCCCGTCCCTGTTGATTCCTTACGAGCCTTCGAGCAATGGGAAGCCACGATTGGTTGAGCCCCTGGTCAACTAACAAACCTGTCCCATTTGAGAAGGAGCCCTGCAGTTTGGACGAAGCACATCCTTATGTTTCCACCAGGTTCATTTGTTCCGAAATCGACACATAAGCATGGAACAAAAAATATTACTAATAACAATAATAACAATGCGCAGGGCGGCAGTGTCCTTTCCAAAAAAGCGGGGACCCTCCCCAACCAACAAGGGTCGGTGGCCCAGATTGCGGCCCAGATTGCACCACAAAAAAGCGACCTAAGTCCATGCAAAGGACCTTTTGATCAATCCCACCCGTTGTTTTGAGAACGATACCATACACCTCACGTCAGGGTGGCTCCCATGTTGGGGAATACATCTATAGGGGATTTGTCAGATTCGTCCGGTGTTTCTCCAGTGAACACGTGAAGCCGGCTTCAGCGACCGCGGTTTCCGCCACGCGGCGTTGCTGCGGTGCATGCGCGCACCCTGGATGCCGGAAGATCCGAAGACCGGCATGGCTCGGTTCGGCACCGAGTCCCAAGATCGGATCGCCCAGAAAGAGGATCAGATGTGTCACGTGCTCTCAAATCCAGTGGGCTTTCTTGGGAAGCTTCAGTTTGAAGCCTTGGATTGCAATTGCAATTCGGTGTCGAAAAGCAAATTGGCGCTTGCCATGCGGTTTTGTCTAGCAACTTGGCGGCGTATGTCTGGTATCGCACATAGACCCCCCGAGTTGTTTCTCCAGCAGCTCGGGCAGCAGTTGGATTTCGGCGTTTTTGCACCAGTATTCATAGCCCAGTGATTCCATCTACCTCCGTAGGTCACCTACAAAAATGGCGAAGGGTGACCTATACTGGCTTGCCTGGGATTTGGGTCACGTTTTATCCATACCAACTGGTGCCTGGCGTGGGTGTTATCCACCAGGCAGTGGATGCCACAAGTCGCCCGTGAAGCAGACATATCAAGAAAGCCTGGGTCCTCCTATTGCCAACAAAGCCAGTTTTCTCCAAAATGCTCTTTTCGGCAAGCCCAGCCCGGCCCCCCCCCAATCCATTTGGCCCTGCTTTCACTCTCCTTTCTCCGGCCCGCTCACAGCTCGATGATGTCGCGCTCTGCAACCTGGGAACAGCAGACTCAAGGCCAATTCACCCCAGCCAGGCTGGCCAAACCTGTTATCCGGATCCCTTTGCAGTCATGTCTCAAATTCAACTTGGAGCTTCTTTTGCCTCTCCGGGCATGTCCCTGTGCGTGGTTCCATGGCAAGGGGGGGGGGGGGAACTTGCTTCTGAGCGGCAAAGCTGCGAAAGCAACAGGCCCAAACGGGCGACAAGCCCGACAAAAGCAATCAAATGCTGGTCAAACAATCCCGTTCATCGACGTGTGCCCGTCAGCCTATGAGTGGTGTGCATCTTGGACTCATCATGAGGGCCTCAGCCGAACGAGACCTGACAGATTGTCTTCCATCACTCGGGCCGTAATGACATCAGCGAGCTCAACACGTTTCACGGGCCTCCAACGCCAACGCAGGCCACAAATCATGCCTTGATCAAGCTTCTGCCAGGTAAGCAATCCGACTTTGGGCTCAGCATCATTCGCGCTTGACAAGACTCACCCCCCAAAAAAGGGTCGCAAACGTCCTTTGCAAGCCAAGCAAATCTCTGCCACGTCCAACCTGCCAACACTGGTCTACCAAAGGCAAAGTCCCATGCTGTACCAACACCTTCTCACCCAATCAACTCTCGAAGTGTTGCACGAGCTGCTTGCTTTGCACAGACTCCGAATCATGACACAGGTGAGTAGTACTCAGTCCCGAAAGTCGGCGAAGTTTGAGGCTTACCCAATTCGTCCCTCGCTTGTCGCAAGCCTTCCTTGACCACAAGCCTTGCTCACCAGTGCACTGCTGCAGCTGCGTTCTTCCATCTACTGCTGCCTACCGTCACCTGCTAAATCATTCTGTCAATGCTTTTGCCCGTCAGCCTATGAGTGGTGTGCATCTTGGACTCATCATGAGGGCCTCAGCCGAACGAGACCTGACAGATTGTTTTCAATCACTCGGGCCGTAATGTCATCAACGAGCTCAACACCTTTCAAGGGTTTCCAGCGCCCAACGGAAGCCACAAATCACGCCTCGATCAAGCTTCTGCCAAGGTAAGCATCTGACTTTGGGCTCAGCATCATTCGCACTTGACAAGACTCACCCCCCAAACAGGGTCGCAAACGTCGTGGGCAAGCCCAGCTCATCTCTGCAACACTGGTCTACCAAAGCCATAGTCGCAGCCACGTTCCCACGCTGCAACAACACCTGCTGGCCCAAAAAAACTCCAGCCGTCGCACAATCAACTTGCTTGCTTTGCCACAAGCTCAGAATCATAACACAGGTGAGTAGTCCTCAGTCCCGAAAGTCGGCGAAGTTTGAGGCTTACCCAATTCATCCTCGCTCGTCGCAAGCCTTCCTTGACCACAAGCCTTGCTCATCAGCGCTCGCCGCCCACTGCTGTCTACAGCTGCGTTCTGCCTTCCGTCACCTGCTAAATCATTCTGTCAATGCTTTTGCCCGTCAGCCTATGAGTGGTGTGCATCTTGGACTCATCATGAGGGCCTCAGCCGAACGAGACCTGACAGATTGTCTTCAATCACTCGGGCCGTAATGTCATCAACGAGCTCAACACCTTTCAAGGGTTTCCAGCGCCCAACAGAAGCCACAAATCACGCATCGATCAAGCTTCTGCCAAGGTAAGCAATCTGACTTTGGGCTCAGCATCATTCGCACTTGACAAGACTCACTCCCCAAACAGGGTCGCAAACGTCGTGGTGAAGCCCAGATCATCTCTGCCACATCCAATCTGCCAACACTGGCCTACCACAGCCATAGTCGCAGCCACCTTGCCACGCTGCAACAACACCTGCTGGCCCAAAAAACTCCAGCCGTCGCACAATCAATTTGCTTGAATCATGACGCAGGTGAGTAGTCCTCAGTCCCGAAAGTCGGCGAAGTTTGAGGCTTACCCAATTCATCCTCGCTCGTCGCAAGCCTTCCTTGACCACAAGCCTTGCTCACCAGTGCTCGCCGCCCACTGCTGTCTACAGCTGCGTTCTTCCATCTACTGCTGCCTACCGTCACCTGCTAAATCATTCTGTCAATGCTTTTGCCCGTCAGCCTATGAGTGGTGTGCATCTTGGACTCATCATGAGGGCCTCAGCCGAACGAGACCTGACAGATTGTCTTCAATCACTCGGGCCGTAATGTCATCAACGAGCTCAACACCTTTCAAGGGTTTCCAGCGCCCAACGGAAGCCACAAATCACGCCTCGATCAAGCTTCTGCCAAGGTAAGCATCTGACTTTGGGCTCAGCATCATTCGCACTTGACAAGACTCACCCCCCAAACAGGGTCGCAAACGTCGTGGGCAAGCCCAGCTCATCTCTGCAACACTGGTCTACCAAAGCCATAGTCGCAGCCACGTTCCCACGCTGCAACAACACCTGCTGGCCCAAAAAAACTCCAGCCGTCGCACAATCAATTTGCTTGCTTTGCCACAAGCTCAGAATCATGACGCAGGTGAGTAGTCCTCAGTCCCGAAAGTCGGCGAAGTTTGAGGCTTACCCAATTCATCCTCGCTCGTCGCAAGCCTTCGTTGACCACAAGCCTTGCTCACCAGTGCTCGCCGCACACTGCTGTCTACAGCTGCGTTCTTCCATCTACTGCTGCCTACCGTCACCTGCTAAATCATTCTGTCAATGCTTTTGCCCGTCAGCCTATGAGTGGTGTGCATCTTGGACTCATCATGAGGGCCTCAGCCGAACGAGACCTGACAGATTGTCTTCAATCACTCGGGCCGCAATGTCATCAACGAGCTCAACACCTTTCAAGGGTTTCCAGCCAACGGAAGCCACAAATCACGCCTCGATCAAGCTTCTGCCAAGGACTCACTCCCCAAACAGGGTTGCAAACGTCGTGGTGAAGCCCAGATCATCTCTGCCACATCCAATCTGCCAACACTGGTCTACCACAGCCATAGTCGCAGCCACCCTGCCACGCTGCAACAACACCTGCTGGCCCAAAAAAAATCCAGCCGTCGCACAATCAATTTGCTTGCTTTGCCACAAGCTCAGAATCATGACGCAGGTGAGTAGTCCTCAGTCCTGAAAGTCGGCGAAGTTTGAGGCTTACCCAATTCATCCTCGCTCGTCGCAAGCCTTCGTTGACCACAAGCCTTGCTCACCAGTGCTCGCTGCCCACTGCTGTCTACAGCTGCGTTCTTCCATCTACTGCTGCCTACCGTCACCTGCTAAATCATTCTGTCAATGCTTTTGCCCGTCAGCCTATGAGTGGTGTGCATCTTGGACGCATCATGAGGGCCTCAGCCGAACGAGACCTGACAGATTGTCTTCAATCACTCGGGCCGTAATGTCATCAACGAGCTCAACACCTTTCAAGGGTTTCCAGCGCCCAACGGAAGCCACAAATCACGCCTCGAGCAAGCTTCTGCCACTTGACAAGACTCACTCCCCAAACAGGGTCGCAAACGTCGTGGGCAAGCCCAGATCATCTCTGCCAATCTGCCAACACTGGTCTACCACAGCCATAGTCGCAGCCGCGTTCCCACGCTGCAACAACACCTGCTGGCCCAAAAAAACTCCAGCCGTCGCACAATCAATTTGCTTGCTTTGCCACAAGCTCAGAGTCATGACGCAGGTGAGTAGTCCTCAGTCCCGAAAGTCGGCGAAGTTTGAGGCTTACCCAATTCATCCTCGCTCGTCGCAAGCCTTCGTTGACCACAAGCCTTGCTTACCAGTGCTCGCCGCCCACTGCTGTCTACAGCTGCGTTCTTCCATCTACTGCTGCCTACCGTCACCTGCTAAATCATTCTGTCAATGCTTTTGCCCGTCAGCCTATGAGTGGTGTGCATCTTGGACTCATCATGAGGGCCTCAGCCGAACGAGACCTGACAAATTGTCTTCAATCACTCGGGCCGTAATGTCATCAACGAGCTCAACACCTTTCAAGGGTTTCCAACGCCCAACGGAGCCACAAATCACGCCTCGATCAAGCTTCTGCCAAGGCAAGCATCTGACTTTGGGCTCAGCATCATTTGCACTTGACAAGACTCACTCCCCAAACAGGGTCACAAAATCTTGGTGGGCAAGCCCAGCTCATCTCTGCAACACTGGTCTACCAAAGCCATAGTCGCAGCCACCTTGCCATGCTGCAACAACACCTGCTGGCCCAAAAAAAATCCAGCCGTCGCACAATCAATTTGCTTGCTTTGCCACAAGCTCAGAGTCATGACGCAGGTGAGTAGTCCTCAGTCCCGAAAGTCGGCGAAGTTTGAGGCTTACCCAATTCATCCTCGCTCGTCGCAAGCCTTCGTTGACCACAAGCCTTGCTTACCAGTGCTCGCCGCCCACTGCTGTCTACAGCTGCGTTCTTCCATCTACTGCTGCCTACCGTCACCTGCTAAATCATTCTGTCAATGCTTTTGCCCGTCAGCCTATGAGTGGTGTGCATCTTGGACTCATCATGAGGGCCTCAGCCGAACGAGACCTGACAGATTGTCTTCA